AAAAAGAATGTTAACAACAAATGATTTTTTTCACACCCAACCCATTTCTGCAGAATCAGAATCAACGTTGAGTTTAAGCAAGCGAATGAGCCAATTGGAGTAAAGTGCCATGCAGATATAAATTTTTCCCACTTGTGACGAATGCAGCTATCGAATTTTTTTGCATGCTAGCATGCTAGTTAACATTCGTGTCAGTCAGCTGTTGGCTCGCACGCTGGCCAATATAATCTTCCTGCCTATTCGTGGCAGCTAGCTATAGGCTCTCACTCTGGCCAGTAGAAAATGGCCGCAAACTACATGAAAACTGCCGTAGAAGCATGAAAAAATCGATTATTTCCCCTATCGATGGGAGTTGGGAAATGCAAAGTTGGTCTTGGACTTCCCGCTAACTTGGAGCATGTACATGTAAATTTTGGTGCAAATCCGTCGAAAATTGCGGCCGTGCATTCGTTACACACACACATACATTCTGCCTTATATATATATATATATACTAAAGTCATATATTTTTATTTATCAGTCCGAGAGATTTTTATCATTTTAACGTTATTTTTAGTCGGTACTCATATTTGGGTGGAAGCTCCATTTATTTATTAAATAGTATATTTATTTATTTTATTCCACCGACCTAAATATTCGAGAGATCTTATTAAAGAAAAATATGTTTCCCGGCAGCATATTTTTCTCGAATATTCAGACCGTTAAACGAAAATAAATATACTGTTTAATAAATAAATGTAACGTCTACTCAAATATGAGTAACTTTTAAAGTCATATATACATAAATGTACATACGCACACACACACAGTAACGCACATTCACACTTACAAACACACGCGCACACGGTAATATTGGTAAGTTACCAAGCTGTAAGTACTATGACTACATTTCATCGGAAATGCACTCAAAACCAACGTTTATTGATACCCAGCCTACTCAGTAAGTCTGTCAATAGGCTTCGTGCTATCTACACATCTTTAATTATTACAAAATATTTTGTAATGTTCTATTGAAACGGTTCTGCGATCTTTACGACGAGTTAGAAATTCGAGCCACGTTTCTGCAATTGGAGGCTTTTGACGAACATTCTTTAGGTCGGAAAGTATTATAAGTGGAACGAGCGTATCAACACCGGTCGAGTGTCAGTTCAAAATGATGAGCGTTCAGTACAACTATCACCAACAAAACACCAGGAAATGTGGGAAATGATTCGTAAACTCATCCTGACTATCCATTAGTTCTATGACTCAGTTGCAATCTGTTATGGAACCTGCCATGAGATTCTAGTTCAAGAATTTGCCGATAACTTTCTAATGTATATGACGGAGAATTTGAAAAAAGTGAAAAATATCTGGGCTTTCCCATTCTCCACGGCCTATATTAGGCATTAGCATATCCGTGATGTATTAACACATTAACTCGTCGAAATAATCAATTCCTGGCATCATTAGACAATGTAAACTTATTCGATACGATAGATATCATTATAGAAATCATTTTTAACCATTCCGTTCTTTCAATATTTCTCAATAATTCTTTTTAACATGCTTTACTAAAGTTTTATTTTACGATAACTAGTAGGAGTCGCTATGGGTTCCCCACTCGATCATTGTTCTTTTAATTTTAATATGGCCTTAACAGAAAATAATGTGCACCAAAAAAACACTATATACGCCAGATAGACATCTCCTTCTAATAAAGGACCGGTTGCAAAGAATTTCAACTTTCGAAAGAAAATCTGTATTTAATTTCCCGAATAAAATTGGTATTAAGAAGAAGAACCCATTCCTCGACGTTATAATTTTAAAAAAATTTAAAAATCAACATTAACTTATTAAAAATTTAAGTTAATAAACTTATCACCAATAACGCTGAAACCGATTCCATAAAATTCCTAAATATACAAGGGTCGGTAAATGTACCAGAATACCACATCTGGCCGACCAGCTGTTGTATTCTGGTACACGGGCATATCTTTTTTAGTTTACCAACTGGTGTGTCTACTTACATTAATATCTTGGTCAGCCTATGAACTTTTCAGCTGATCCTCGTAATCAATGATTACCAACTTGGATACCGTTATGGAAATCTTAAAATCCAAATACCGAGTTCACCCCTTCAACCCATTATTTCATAAGTACACACATTCGTTTATCAATTATCCTAAACTATCTACTAAAACCATACCTACCTAACAATTATAGCATTAATTCTTAAGATGAATTTATTTAAATGCTACACACTACCAAATCAAACAAACAAATTCTTGCATCATTCATTAAGCGCCGTACGTGCTACACGCTTAGGCGATCATGTCTCTTTCGATTCATGACTGACTACGCAGATGTTCCCGCAGTAGGTTGCCGTTTCTTTCTGCGGTAAAATGTTTAACAACCAAGGCTATAAGACACATTCTCTCCTGCTATTCAACCCATAGACTGGGGGAGAAGATATGTTGTTACTGGTTCATAAAGTGACTTTATGAAGTAGTAAAAAAAAACTAAAAGGAGGTAACAAATAACACTGACACACGGCTGCTGCTGTTACCGCATTATGAATCCACCTGTTCTCCTCCAACTATTGGTTAACTTGTATCCGTCAGTGAGTTAAGTGCCATACGTGATGGGCGATCATGTCTATTTCGATTCATGACTGACTAGGCAGATGTTCCCGCAGTAGGCTGCCGTTTCTTTCTGCTATAGACTGGTTATCAAATGATGTAAGACGCAGTCTGTCCTGCTAGTCAACCCTTAGCTGGAGGGGGAGAGAAGAGACAGATTCAGACTTTTCCCAAAAGTATTTGCGCGTAAGTGGATGTAAAGAATCCGACTGGAATTCGAACTCGATTCTCCCGACACGTAGGACACGTGGTACCATAGATCTTGCTCTTATTTTAAGAATTTTGTTTGTTTTTTATGTTTTGATTTTTTTTTTTTTTTTTTTTTTAATTTTCGCTCGTCAAATCAAAATATTGAAAAAAGTCCTCATCAAAGAAGAGAAGCTTTTTTTTTTTAGTGGAATTAAGTAAGCATCCAATATTACAAAGAAAACGATAATTATACAGTGAGTCCCCGCTTATTCGCGTTTCAGCATTCGCGGCTTCACACATTCGCGGATTTTTCTTTGGAACATATGTACTTGTTATTCGCGGAAAACCCCGAATATTCGCGTGTTTTCTAAAGAACATATGTACAAATTATTCGCTGAGAACTCCGTCAATTCACGTATTTTTTCGATAGAACATATTTAAAATATTCTTGTATTATTTTCCTGTTATTTAAGTGACTTAAAACATATAACAGTCCATTTTTATGGTAAAAATTGACAGAATTGTACATCTTCATTGTAAAAAAAAAAACAAACGCAAAAACATGCGTAGTGCTTGGGCTTTGTTCTTTGTTAGGGTCTTCAGCTGGGGGGTCTTAAAAGTGAATTATGCTAAATCTTGGGGCATCATCACAGTTCAGTTTTTAGAAAATGTTTTAAACTTTATATTTTATGTCTTGTTACACGTATTTTATACAGTATTTTCAATGGTTGTATCGATCTATACGTAATTAAAAACGGTTATTGTACGTATGAAAGAAAATTTACGCTAAGTGTATGATCACCAATACTATTTTTCAAAAATGTTTTTAAAGGGGTTTGTAATGTTTCTAAAGTGTTTAGGATGAAGGTTTAAAGTATATGGGGTTTTAGTAATTAAAATAGATACCTATAAGCACTTTTAGTGGGGGGTTACAGGTATTCGCGGATTGTAACTATTCGAGACCTGTTCTGGTCCTTAACTCCCGCGAATATGGAGGAACTCACAAGATTTTTTTTTCTTTTTGGAGATTAAAGCTCGTAAACATTCGATCTGCACTTTCTGAAAAAAAAATCATTCTTTTAACTGAGAGTCGAAATAACCAGCAAAGGAAGTATTTAAAAGTTGGCACCCGAGTGCTCGACGGAAGCATCCGTGCTAATTGATCACTGGCGAGGTTAACAATATCTGCAATATCTTTTTCCTGTAACTACAGCCTGAAGAATCGATAACTTCTTCACAAATACCCCTGTCATAAGGATTATAGAGATCTTTAAGCAAAATATTTGCAGACCCTTCTTCGACTTAAAAGTATACCCGACATTTTACAAAAACGCCTTCTGGCATGAACCACTAAACTTCCCTTTTATGACCACAATTTATTTGAACATTTTTACCTCATTTTGTCGAAGAAAATATTTTGTCGAAGAAAATATTTTGTCTCAGGTTTCAATTTGTTTTAAAAGTTTATTGGGATAGAAAGAAAGGTAAGAGTTTTTGTTTGTGACTTACGCATTTCATATATCTACGTGAGTCATTTCTTCTCGTGTATAGAGATTACATAAGTCGCTGAATGCATCCGTGTTTACTTTTCGAGTGCACTAAGGATAGATAGGTGGAGACATAGGTATGAGATTGATAGATAGATAGATAGATAGATAGATAGATAGATAGATAGATAGATAGATAGATAAGAGACCAAAACAGAAAAATGATGAAATAGATAGATAGATAGATAGATAGATAGATAGATAGATAGATAGATAGATAGATAGATAGATAGAGAAGAGACCAAAACAGAAAAATGATGAAATAGATAGATAGATAGATAGATAGATAGATAATGAAGGGGCCAAGACAGAAAAATGATGAAATAGATAGATAATGAACAGAATAAGATAGATAGATAGATAGATAGATAGATAGATAGATAGATAGATAGATAGATAGATAGACAGAATAATTATGGTTATAGGAAATGCCATACTGTCAGCTTCTAATGATCGCTGAGGGTATATATATATATATATATATATATATATATATATATATATATATATATATATATATATATAATAAGACTTTTTCAGCTATCTATCTTTCTCCCTCTCTCTCACTCTCTTTCTCTTTCTGTGTGCGTGTGTGTGTGTGCAAATGCGATCATGATGTTATTTTACATGCATCTTTGTCAAA